TCAATTTCCTAAAGAGCCCTTTTATCTCGGATTATTCTTTGTGAGGAGCAGATACAAACCATCATATCTCCTCAGATTTCTCTTGAAGCCCTCTCTTCTCCTCAGAATCTAGTTTGTAAAAGATCCTTTTATCTCAGATTTTTCTTTCTAAGGACCTGATACCAACCATCATTTCTCCTTAGATTTCTCTCTTCATAGACTTGTCTTCTCCTCAAATCTTGTTCCTAAAGCGACCTTTTATCTCACATTTATCTTCATAAGGACAAGAAACAAACAGTTATTTCTACTCAGATTTCTCTCTTTACAGACCTGTCTTCTCAGAATCTTGTTCCAAAAGAGACCTTTTACCTCACATTTTTCTTTGTTAGGCCAGAAACAAAGGGTCATTTCTCCTCAGATTTCTCTCTCCACAGACCTGTCTTCTCTTCAGTATCTACTTCCTAAAGGGACCTTTTACCTCACATTTTTCTTCATAAGGACCATCAGATACAAAATGCCATTTCTATTCCGATTTCTCTCTCCACAGACCTGTATTCTCCTCACAATCTAGTTCCTAAAGGGTCCTTTTACCTCACATTTTTCTCCGTTAAGGACCACATACAAACTATCATTTCTCCTCAGATTTCTCTCTCACAGACCTTTCTTCTCCTCAGAATCTAGTTCCTAAAGGGATCTTTTACCTCAGATTTTTCTTAAGGACCAGAAACAAACAGTTATTTCTATTTCTTTCTTTAATATCAGATACATAACCATCATTTCTCCTCACATTTCTTTCTTCACCAACCTGTCTTCTCAGAATCTAGTTCCTAAAGGCACCTTTCTTTTTTTTTTTTTTAAAGATTTATTTATTTGTGCATACTGAACTGGGATACAGGCCAGAGGTGCAGGGTCGGCGAGAGGATTCACCAGACAGAGTGGGGAGCAGAACAGGCCGCCTAACGAAGTACACTGCTGAGGGATGCTGCAGGCGGGTCAGGAGCAGCCTGCCATGCCATGTGGTCACCTCTCAGGCAGGTGGGGATTGAAATCATACTGAAGTGGACCTAGCCGCCCCACCCCCCACCCCCAGTGCTGTGCCCTAACCCACTGTGTCACCAGGGAGGGCCCTAAAGGGACCTTTTACCTTAGTTTTTTCTCCTAAAGATACAAACCATCATTTCTCAACTTTGTCTCTTCAGACTTGTGCTCCCCCCAGAATCTACTTCCTAAAAGGGACATTTACCACAGATTTTTCTCCGTAAAGATACAAACCATCATTTCCCCTCGTTTCTCTCCCCACAGTCCTGTCTTACCCTCATAATCTAGTTCCTAAAGGGACCTTTTACCTCACATTTTTTCTCCTTAAAGATAAGCTACAAATTGACATTTCTCCTCAGATTTCTCCTCAGAGACCTGTCTTCTCAGTATTTAGTTCCTAAAGCCACCTTTTACCTCATATTTTTCTTCGTAAGGAGCAGATCATAACCATCTTCACAGAATTCTCTCTTCACAGGCCTGTTTTCCCCTCAGAATCTTGTTCCTAAAGGGTCCTTTTACCTCAGATATTTCTCCTTAAGACCAGATAGAAATCTCATTTCTCCTCAGATTTATTTCTTTACAGACCTGTCTTCTCCTTGATTTTAGTTCCTAAAGGGTCCCTTTAACTCAAATTTATATTCTCAAACCTGAAACAATAATTTCTCCTCAGGTTTCTCTCTTCACAGACCTGTCTTCTCTTCAGAATCTAGTTCCTAAAGGGGCCCTTTACCTCAGATTTTTCTCTGTAAGGACCATATAAAAACCATCATTTCCCCTTCGATTTCTCTCTTCAGAGCCCTGTTATCTCCTCAGAATCTAGTTTCTAAAGGGTCCTTTTAGCTCAGATTTTTCTCCTTAAGATCAGATATCAACCATCACTTCTACTCAGATTGTTCCCTTCACAGACCTGTTATCTCCTCAGAATCTAGTTCCTACAGGGACCTTTTACCTCACATTTTTCTTCATAAGGAGCAGATACATAACTATCATTTCTCCTCAGATTTTTCTCTTTACAGACCTGTCTTCTCAGAACCTAGTTTCTAAAGGGACATTTTACCTCAGATTTTTTCTCCTTAAAGGCCAGATAGAAACCTCATTTCTCCACTGATTTATTTCTTCACAGACCTGTCTTCTCCTTGATTTTAGTTCCTAGAGGGTCCCTTTAATCAAACTTATATTCTCAGACCTGAAACAGTCATTTCTCCTCATATTTCTCTCTTCACAGACCTATCTTCCCCTCAAATCTAGTTCCCAAAGGGATCTTTTACTTCACATTTTTTTCTGTAAGGACAAGACACAGACCATCATTTCTCCTCAATTTCTCTTTTTAGAGCTCTGTTTTCTCCTTAGAATCTAGTTCCTAAAGGGTCCTTTTACCTCAGATTTTTCTTCATGACCAGATATAAACCGTCACTTCTCCCCAGATTCTCTCTTAACAGACCTGTCCGCTCTTCAGAATCTAGTTTCTAAAGGGACTTTTTACCTCACATTTTTCTTTATAAGGACCAGAAACAAAGGGTCATTTCTCCTCAGATTTCTCTGTGCACAGACCTGTCTTCTCCTCAGAATCTGGTTCCTTAAGGTAGCTTTTACCTGTTTTTTTCTTCATAAGGACCAGATACAAACCATCATTTCTCCTCAGATTTCTCTATTCACAGAACTGTCTTCTCTTCAGAATCTAGTTCCTAAAGGTACCTTTTATCTCAGTTTTTTTCTCATAAGGACCAGGTATAAACCATCATTTCTCCTCAGATTTTTGTCTTCATAGATCTCTTCTCCTCAGAATCTAGCTACTAAGGTGTCTTTTTCCTCATTCTAATCTAAATTTGTCCACATTAGCCTGTCTTCTCAGAAACTTGTTTCTTAGGGGTTTTAGTGTGCATTTCCATCACTGCCATGATGGAGTAAGACCACTAGAGCCTATATTCCATAGTTATTATCATATCTCAGGAGAAATACTAAAAAACTAAATAAAAATAGGCTGATTGGAAAATAGTTGAAAATGGAAGGGAGTGTTGTGTGGGTTTTTTTGTTTTTTCTTTTTTCTCAAGCTTTTAACTGAGGGGTGGCACCAAACGAAACTGGCATACACCAATCAACATAGACACAATGGGGAAATGGGCTTGTCTGGTCCATTTTGTAGAGTATCTAGATTTTCTGTTCCCTCTGGGCTCTGACTGAAGATTTAGGGACCAGTTCTAGAGAACTACATAACACTTTTTCAGAAAAGAAAAGTGAGAAGGCGACCTCTGTGTTCTGAATATAGAAAGAATCCACCTATTTTGCTCTCTTTTTTGTCACTTCTAAACCTCAGTTTGTGTCATAGTCAGCTCTTTCAGCTATGGCATGCAGCTTAAACTCCAATATAAACCATAGCTCTTTCAGCTATGGCATGCAGCTTAAACTCCAATATAAACCTCCAATATAAACCTGGCAAGAAGACCAGGAAAAAGGAGACCTGCAATACAGGGTATGGGAGAAATATAAAAATGAGAGAAATCAAGAAATGAGATCTAATTCTACATATGAACCCATGTAAATTCCATCCTCACACCAAAACTCAGCATCTGCAGGAGACCACACAAAGCTGCACAGCAAAAGACAGGTGAACGGAATTACTATTTATAGTATACTCCAAGCTCCTAAAAAAAATCCCTGAATGTTGTGTATATAAAACAGAAATTAGTGTTACCAATCATTTGAAAACAGAACTGACATGGAACCAACAAACACAAATGAAGAGACTGAAGTTGGGATCTCAACCGAACTGGATTGCTTACTCTTTAAACAAAACAAAAATCAACATTCCTCCAAAGCCTTTTAGCGAGTCCCAGTCTATGAAATGTTAATATTCGAAATGTCCAGGATAAGAAGAAACATAATTACTCAATATACAAAAAACTGGAAAAATCTGACCAGCTTTTTAAGGAAAACAAAGTCAATAGCTGCCAAACCTACGTAACAAAAAAGTTACAATTATTAGACAAAGATTTGAAATCAATTATAACTAGAAAGTAGCTGAAAATGTTCTCTCTAGGTATATGCTTACTCTAGAAAAATGCTTGCATTTTTGTATCTGAATCCACGCATAAGAAATGTTTCCACCAACGTTGTTTTAATGGCAAAACCTGGGAAATAGAAGGGGGGAAATGTTACACAAAAGAATTACCAGTATATAACAATAAAATTAAGGAACTCCAACTACAAGCAAATACATGAAACAATCCAGTATGAATTTAGAAGCATATTGAGTGGGAAAAGTTGCGGACTACATAGCAGCCAATTATTCTTACAAAGCTCAACTCTTTATTCATGGTAAACATACATTAATGAATAATTTAAAAGCAAAATAATATACGCAAAACACAGGGGAGTGTTAGAGAAAGGCAAGGGCATAAAGTAGGACAAGACACTGCTAATTTTAGTAATACTGGCGCTTTCTAAATCACGATGGTCATTGCCACGTATAGTTTATTTATACCTATTTGTGGATATAAAACACAGTCGGCTTCTAAATGACATCCCGTGGGCATAATGTAAGAACAGCGTTCCGAATCCTTTATTAAAATAACACCCAATAATTTTATACGCCCACTTGAGCTCACTACCTAACCTCGGATTGAGCGACACGCCTTTCCAACGCCTCAGCCTTTCACAGTCACTTCCGCCTCCGCCTCCCTAGCTCCGCCCCTCTGAAAGGAAGTATTCGCCTTTTGGGTCCTCCTACCTGCAGGGGGCTCTCCGAGGCTTTAGTGCCACGAAGGTCTTTGCCTAGGCTGTCCCTGCGGCGCCTGTTAGTTTAGCTCTAGAGGATACATCACATTTTAACATTTTCTGCAAGAAAAGAAACGGTACGGGTATCTTACTGGGAACAGTAACGCTCAAACTCAACCCCGGCCGAGTGCCCTCATTATCAAACCCTGCTATACTCGTGGATCGGAGTCAGGCGGTGTAAGGACAGCCCGAAGAACTGAAAGTCCCCTGCCCGCTTCCTCCAGTGAAGACGTAGTTGCGGGTGGCTGTGGTGGCGGCGTCCAAGATGTCGACCAAGAATTTCCGAGTCAGTGACGGTGACTGGATTTGCCCTGACAAAAAGTGAGTTCATGAAGGGTCCCAGAGCAGGCGGGATTTACTGATAGGAGCTTTCTCAGGTGTGGTCGGCATTTTCCATTTTTACGATCCCTGGTGCCTTCAGCCGGTTGACACACTGAACAGCCGGCTTCGGGGCGGGAAGGAGGCTCCGGGTCTCAAGATGAGGTCTTTTGGGACCCTTTGTTTTGACTGTATCTCCAGCATTTTGACATTCCCTTTTCAAAACTGCTACTGTTTTTGAGTGAGAAATGATCTACCCTTGGCGCCACCTTTCGCCTCCGCAGGTTTTAGCGATAAGGAAATCTTACCCTAGTCGAGGCCAGCTAGGTATTGGATCTCCCCCACGTGACTTTTCCCTACTCAACTTTACTTATGATCGCGGAAGGCGTTGCTTTTTCGAACTCGTCCTTTTCTGTCTTTTGATCTTATTTTTTTTAAATAGAACTTTTCTATATATTGTCTATTTACCACCCCCTCCCCACACACACACACTGCCTTTCCTTGGTTTGGGAAATTCTGACACCCT